TGTCCCATGTGTGTCCCCGTGTCCCCTCAGGTGTCAAGGAGGTGGATTACGCCCTCTACCCCAGCAAGGAGACGCAGCTGCGGTGGCTGCACTCCTACCTGCAGGCCTACAAGGAGCTGACCCAGGGGTGCCCMGGGGACAGCCAGGTGTCCCCCGAGGAGCTGGAAACCCTCTACGTGCAAGTGAACAAATTTTCCCTGGTGAGCAGCAGAGATGGAAGGAGCCCGACTCGCTCCGGGGGTGAAAACGCCACCCACGGGATGAGTTTTTGTCACTTTTGGGCTTCTGGCTGAGCTGGCGAGGGTGGCGGGGCAGGTGACAGCCTGGGGGGCTCGGGGACAGCTGGGACAGGCTGTGCCACAGGGCCTGGCAGCGCCTCAGGGACACTGAGGTCATGGGGAGCGCTGGGGACAGTGACGGCCGTGGCCTTGGTCATCCCTGCCCAGGGGTCAGCAYGGCCCGGCGTGAGCAAATCCTCTTTGGAAACTGCCAATTTTCTGGAAATTTCGGGTGAAATCTCCTCGTTTTCCTGGCTGGAGCTGCCAGGAGGGTTGGGACACCATGTGCTGTCCTTGTCACAGCCCTGGGAATTGCAGGACACGGCCACTGACCGCCTCGGTCCCGTGGGCAGGGATGGTCCGAGCGCATTCGCTGACCCTCACTCTGCCCCTTGCAGGCGTCCCATTTCCTGTGGGCGTGCTGGGGGCTGATCCAGGATAAATACTCGACCATAGACTTTAATTTCTTAAGGTGAGTTACGTTCCCAGCCCCATAATGGGAAATGGGRTCTCCCTATTTCCTATTTCTCTCCCGAGTCCGCCCGGCATGGGTCAGTGTGAAATGTCCGGAACAGGACAATGGCAGCGGTCAGTCTGTGGTCCCCAAGGCCAAGCTCAGCGCCATCACTCTCCTCTCTTGGCAGATATGCAAAGTTAAGGTTTAAACAGTATTTCAAGATGAAGCCGGTGGTCACAGCCCTGCAGATCCCCAAATAGGCGCTGCCCCGAGCTCCTCCAGCCGGGCCCGGCCGTGTCCTCGCGTCCCCCTCGCCCCGGTGGCGTGGGGGAGGACAGGAGCCCTGCCCAGGCCGCTGCTGCTGCTGCAAGGACACCCTGGACACGGCYGAGACCGGACCATGAGATGCTGGACAGGACCAGGGGCTCGGCCCACGCCAGGGAGCCTCACCATCGCCTTAAAGCCGAGCGCCACTCGGCCCCGCTGCCCGCCCTGTCCCCTCTGCGCTGTCCCCGAGGAGGAGGGACACGGGGTCACTCTGCTCAGGAGCCCCAAGAGCTGCCCGGTCACTTTGGCCACCCCCCTTGGCTGTGCCCTCTGTCCCCGCTGTCCTGCCGGGTGACACCACAGTCCCACCCTCAGAGCAGCGCTTTCCCCGGTCCCCGCTGTCCCCAAGCACAGCATGGGGACCCTTTTCCATGAGGGGTGGGAGCCGCGGGGGAAGGGACAGGGCCAGCCTGAGCCGCGAGGGTTTGGGGCGCTGCTGGTGGGCGCTGGGTGCCTGTCCCCTTTGCCCTGTCCCCACGGCTGTCCCTTCCTGTCTCCATTGTCCCCCTGACCTCGGTGGCCTCCCCCTTCCACCCAGCTCCGCCTCTGCCCTCTCCCCCAGGGCCAGGAGGGTCAGGGGGGTCAGGGGGGTGGGTCCTGCCTGTCCCCCATCCCTGTGCCCCTCGCCTGTCCCCATCCCTGTCCCCCTCTCCTGTCCCCGCGAGGAGGTGGCACGGAGCTGCTCCTCTCCCGCCCCACCGAGCCCCGCCTGGCTCATCGCAGCTCCCGGGGGTGCAATCAGAGCCTCTTGGGGACAAGGGTGACCGTCCCTCCCCTCGGGGCACGGGGACAGCCCCCAGCCCCAACCAGGACTGCTGGAGCGGCCGTGGTTGTTTCGGTGCGAAATAAAAGCTGCTGGTAGCTGGAATTCGGGGGGTGGCGGGTCTGGTGGAGGGGGGAGGGCTCTGTTAGAGACCCCCTCGGCGGGGTCTGGGGGTGCTCCTGTCCCTTCTGGATCGGGAGATGTCCCCTCCCGAGCCTCGCCCCCAATCTGGGAGAGCCCAGGCCCAGCTCTCCGCTCCAAAAAAGTCACTTTTATTGTGCCAAGGGATGGCAGGGGGTCGCGGGGTGGATTGTAAACAGGGATGTGAAATATACAGGTTAAGTTACTCGTGGTCTTATTAACAAAATAAAGCTCTATCTATATTTACAATCTTTAAAAACAAAAAAAAAAAAAAAAAAAAAGAACAAAACAGGAGGAAAAAAAATAAAGAAAAATAAATGGAAGAGAGACGGGAAGAGCTGCAGCCGGGGGTGGGGAGGGGGCGTATCTGCTTCCAGTCCCTCTGCAGCGCAGCCCAGCTCGTCCCGTTCCACCCTGGAGCTGCGACCCCTCCCCAGGGACCCCTCCCCTTCCCCAGGGACCCCAGCCCCGGCGCGGGGAGTTGGGAATAAATAAAGCACTGACAAAGGGCAGGAGAGGAGGGAGGGGCTGGCTGGGCTGGGCTGGGGAGGAGGTGGGATGTCCCCGTGGGTAAAGGATGTCCCCCCGGTGTCCCCATGGCAGTGTCCCCATGGCAGTGTCCCCACGGCGGTGTCCCCAGTGCTGGGGTGCTGAAGGTGCTGAGATTCGGGTCCCCAACCCGGGCTGGGGACAGGGGGACAGGGACTGGCC